AAAAAAAAAAAAAGAGTTGGTTGAGCATAAATTTCATAAAATCCGTCAAGATTATTTAACAAATTTAGAAATGCAAGGATTGTATTATAATAGTCACATGATCCCACAAAATCAGATAAATTTAATAACAAATTTCGAAATTCAAGGATTAATGTATCAATTAATTGCGTAATTTATGTTAATATTCAATATTTAATCAATAAATTTATTTTAATTAATTTCTCGTGTGGGGCCTACATGGTTATTACTTAATGTAGTAATTATTACTTAAAGTAGAATGTCAACACTTTATTTTTTAAGTCAAACATACTATTTTTGTAATTTTCCAACAACCTCTTTATATTACTATAGATTAAAAAAACATATTCACTAAATACGTTTTTCACATTTTTTTTACAAAAGAAAACGTATTCCGTGAATACGTCTTCCAAATAAATTTTTGAAAAACCGTATTCACAAAATACGGCATTTTCATTTCATTCCACCCCTTTTTTCCTTTTTCTCTTTTTGTCCACCACTTAACTTTCTTTTTTTTCGTAAAAAATTCACGAAAAGCGCGTGGTGCATGAAGTGGAAATCGAGTGGATATCTATTTTCCATGATACTTCGCTAACTTTAGAAAGAAGATCAAGAAAATCTCAAAAGAAGGAAAGAACTTGTTGAAGAAGTTGTCGCCTAAGGATGCTTCTAAAAACCCTACTTGAAGATTAATTGAAGGCTGCTGAATCTTCGATTACTCTCGTCAATCAAGCTTCAATCGAGAGTTCAAGCTTTCTGCTTTTTTTCTTAGTTTATGTTCGCAGGTCAGTGTTTAGATGTTCTTACAAAGCTTGAACACTGAAGCTACCTTTTGAGTTGTATTGTGCGTTTGCATCAAATACTTTTGTTTTCATAACGTTTTTAGTCTCAAGGAATTGAGAGTGTTTTAAGTCCATGGGACGTGGCCGGAGAAGTAATTGATAGAATCGTGTGTAGTTGTGACTAGGCTAATAATTGATAGGATCATGTGTAGTTGTGTAATTGATAGTTCAAGTCGTGTAAGTCCAAACTATAAAAGTGTGAAAGATTTATCAATGAAAGAGCTCCGAGGAAAAGTGAGACGCTTCCTTGAAGAGTTTTTACATCTTTGGTTTATTGTTTATGCAGTTTCATTGTTTATTTGTGTTTTTACATCGTGAAGTGCAATCATCGTAAAAGTTAAACATTTCAACAAATATTCATGTTTTTGCAAATTCTGGGCAAATGGCACAATAGACCGATAATTACAGTTCAATAGTTCTGCTCCGTTTCTCGAATAAAAAAGAATTAAATCCCCAAATTCAAACTGAATTACTGAAATACAAAACCTGACGCAGTAAAAATAAGAGTTTGAATCACAAAAAAAAAAAAAAATTAAACTAGGGTCGTTGTAATGAAGAAAACACACAAAAATAACTAAAATCGACCTTACCTTGCGGACAGATTGAACGATGAGCTCCAACGTAAGTATGTAACAACAACTCGCTCTTTCGATTCCAAGGTTAGGGCAAAGGTAAGAGATTTTAATATTTAACCTGGTATTAATGGTAAATAATTGGATATGTGGGGGCTTTTACGTATTTTCACACACAATTTTGAGGGTAAAATTGTCATGAACAGTGGGATAAAAAATCAGGGCTGGAAGGCAGGATTTTATTATCAGCCAATTAATGATAATATGGTGTGTCAAAATGCCACATGGTTGCCACATCAGACCAGTCCTATCACAATCCCTCAATGTAAACAACTGATTGTCGAGATAACTTTCCTTATCCCGTCTTGTCCCCCGAAGTAAACGAGCCCTAAGAGAATTCTCAAAATCAACTATGTTGAGTTATTAATAGTTAAGTTGGTTTTCGAATTTATTTGTTTGTGATAAATAATTTATGAATCAACATGCTGGAATACATTATTCTCAAAATCAAAAGAAAAAAAAAAATGTTTTTTAATGAGAAAATACAAGAGAAAAAAAAAATAATTAATAGTAAACAAAAGGGCCCGAATATTAAGGGCAACATATGACTAAATCTATTTATTCATAACAAATTATTCTCATCATACGTTAAATTCTTTGAACATTTCAGTTAATCCAAAACATAAACCAAAAAGCTTCTTCACAGATCTCTTACAACATCTGATAATATTCATCACAAGTAATGAATAATCTTCTTTATTTTTTATTTCATTATTGAGTTATTATGAATAATCTTACTCTTAAACAATTGTGCTCAACCAGTCACTGCATATTATATGCTCTATGCTTCCATTTGTATTGGATAATTTTTTGTAGTTTAATTTATGCATGCATGTATGCTAATTATTTCCTTAAATAAAATGGGTTGTTCTAATTTTGAAGGGATTGTTGTTGATTTAAGAGGAGTTGATTGAAGATGGATCCTGAGTTTTCTGAGACAGAGGAAAGGCTCAATGAAGAAGATGAACACGACGAGAAATTTCATCTCTTCGGCCGCCAAAAACCGGTACACTCAGCCCTTGGCGGCGGCAAGCGTATGTATATTTATACTGATTTATTAAATTTTTTTTTTTTATTTAGAGAAGAAAAAAAATTCAGTTTATTTTGTTTCAAGAATAAACTATATGTGCAAGGAGAAACTATTTCTTTTTTTAAAAAAAAAATATTTTTTTTTTTCCAGCTGCCGATGTGATTCTGTGGCGGAACAAGCAGATCTCGGCAGCATTGCTGGCGGGCTCGACTGTGATATGGCTATTGTTCGAGTGGATCGGTTATCGGCTCATCCCTTTCATTTGCCACTCTCTCATACTCTCATTGGCCTCTCTCTTCTTGTGGTCCAACCTTTCATTCTTCGTGAACAAGTCGGTTTTCCTTCCTACCATTTGAGTTTCGACTCCGGCAAAAATGTATTTTTAGTCCTATAAGTTTAACGTCGTAACAATTTCAGCCAAGATTCTAACTTTTTTGCCTTTTGGTCATGTGATCTAATATTTTGATGCAATTTCAGTCTTTGAGGACTGAAATTGCAACTTAATTTTAAATTACATGATTGAAATCACGACAAAATTTTAAATTGCAGAACTTAAACTGCTAATCAATGATCTTGGAATTTGTTGCAATTTTAATCCTCAAAGGACTGAAATTGCAGCAAATTGTTAAATCACATGACCAAAAAGCAAAATGTTGGAACCTTGCTACTAAAATTGTCATGACATTAAACAGGTAGGACTAAAAATGCAATTTCGCCTTTCGACTCCCCTCCTTTCTTCACTCACTCTTAACTTTGAGAATTTGTACGACAAAATCGAAAAAACGTGCCATAACTAAAGAATTTCTTAAGACGGTATGTGTTGAAGTTTGTTCATAAACGGGGCAAAAGCAGGCAAAGAGCGAAAAATCACGGGTGTTTTTCCTCAGTTAAACCGAGCCCCGAGTCTCTATTTCCCTATGAAGATGTTCTTAAATCATTACATAGTAACTATTTGGTGTTAAAACTTTTTGTTTGTTTGGTTGTCTCTTTTGGACAGATCTCCTATCAATTTCCCAGAGATTGTACTGTCAGAGGACATATGCAAAAATGCTGCTCTCTTACTAACTCACAGATTAAATGAGGCACTTAGTTTTTTCTTCGGAGTAATTTCTGCAAAAGATTTCAAGAAATTTCTTACCGTAAAATCTCTTTTGTTCACTCTCTCTTCGAATTTCCAGCTAAATTTTCAATCATGAAACCTTGTGATGATATTCTTATTCCTACAGGCAATATTTGCACTGTGGTTTGTCTCGGTTTTCGGCAGCTGGTTCGACTTCCTGACTATTGTATACATCAGTAAGTGCTCTCTTCTTCTGTAATAATGAAAACTAAAAAAAAACCAGAAAAAAAAATGTGGAACAAAAAGCAATGTTTCAAACCAAAACCCCCCTCGAGATTTCTGTGAGATATTATTCTTTTCGTCCTTCTAACTTTTTTTTTTCTCTTTTGAATTTTGATTGAAGTCTTTGTGATGATACTGACAATGCCATCGTTATACGAGAAGCATGAAGATCGAGTAGATAACTATGCCCTGAAAGCAAAAGCCAATCTCAAGAGACAATACAGCCAATTGGATGAGAAGGTCCTACAGAAGTTACCGAAAGTTCCTTTCATCACAGACAATAAGCAGAACTGATGAAGCTACTTGATTTTTTTTATCCCGAAGATAAACTATCTTTAGAACAAGGGTTATTATAATAATATCTATGTTTTTTACATTCCTTTTAGGGATAAACGGCATTGAACTTTCGAAGGTTGATTGACTTTTTATTTCCGTTTCACTTGGGCGGCAAGTACCGAACGAACAACATTTGTCTCCTCATGGCTAAATCGTTCGATTTGCTTTACATTAACGCATCATGTGAATAATATAAGAGCTTACGGTAACTTAGCTGTCATATGAATGGTTAAAACTACTTGCAGTAATATGGAACAAGCCTCAATCATCTTAAGACATGAATTTTTCTCTGCTTACCGCTTTACCGTACAGATGAGATTTACGAAGCTCATAAACTAACAAACAAAAGCTAGTTTACCAGACTTACAAAAAAAAAAGGGCCGCCACTTTTCTTCATACCTTGGATGTTTTTGGTGGGAGAAAAGGCTCCCACCACCCGTATTCGTACTTGGGATAAGGAGCTGTCCACTTTTCGGGCTTTTCAAATTCGAGATCAACTGGATTGGAAGCTAGAGCTTCTTCAAGATTTTCAGCTTCAAAGCTCTCTTGCAAAACTCTGTCTAGTCTCAACTTCATGAACCTACACACAGTGTATAGAAACCATTCAATAAAGTATGTCAAATTACAATATGAGACGCGAAGTAATGCAATAAACACAAAGGAAACAACGGCGCCTACAGAATGAAGTTTTGTATTTTTTTCAAATGCTTAACTTTATCTTCTATATTTCAAGTTTATCCCAAATCAATGATTAGAAGGATAGGATGAACATACTATTCTCTTTGATTTTACATACACACACACACACACAAAAATATTTTTAAACTTTATTCCCACAGGTCACTTAATATATTCAATTTCAAGCCTTTTGGTGATTATTATTCACAAACATATAAGAATCACTGCCTCCAAAAGAGTGAATTTACGAGAAGTAGACTCCTCAAGTGCACTTCAAATAGCATTCGAAAGAAGAGCACAAAATGTGAGTAAACAAATAATACAACTTACGTAATCCAAGGCCCGTTTGTCGAAACAAGAGCAACGGCTGGCCTCTTGAGCCTCTTGGTAACATTAGGGAACTCGTCCAAGAATTTGGGTTCGATCACGAGCCAGAAATCTTGCTCCTTGTTCCTCTCCCCAAAAAGCCGAAGGCGCTCGAACATTAGCTCCTTGAAATGCTCCTCCTCATCCAACATGAACTTCGCATTGGCCACGACAAAATGATACTTTTTGCTCCCACTACCTTCTTCTTCTTCTTGTTCCTATTCTCCCCAGAAGTAAAATTCGAGATTCACCAGAGTCAAATGACAAAAAAGATAGTTGCCACCAAACACCACAACCCAATACAAACACAAAACCCATTTGTCATGTTTCGCCCAACAGTTGAACCTGCAAACCAGCTTTCTTACAAGCACAACAAACACTTGAACATTCAACATCCACAATCGAGACAGCAATAGTGAAATACTAAAGATTTTGTTCACCAGCCATTACACGAATCAACATTTTTTTCCAAACTTAATCAAATCGGACAGCCAAAAATCGGTGTAAAAACATGAAATCTGCACACCTTGATGGTGGGATTGGAAGAATCGACGGCGGCCACTGATCTTCGGACAGGGGTGGACAGTTTCCTCGTCAAGGGGTTTGAAGATTTCAAGATTGGATTTTTAGCAGGTGGGTGTAAGAGAGGTTTGATGGGATTTTGGGCGGGGGAATTTAGCAGCTGGGTACCCAAAGATCCGATGTTCAGAGCTGTTGAAGCTACTAACATGGTTGCTAACAATCAGTCGCCTCCTTTTTTCCTGAAAAAAGAAAAATATATTACTTTTTTGTTTTCGTGAATTTAGCAATGGTGGAAGGAGGAAGAAGAAGATAGAGGATAGGGGAAAAATTACAAGAGACAAACAACCAACCTTATCTGCCTTCTATTTTTAGTGTCACAAAATAGTACTTTTCTAAAGTTTGTCTAATTAAGATTTGATTTCGGCTCGAGCTCGGCTAGTTAATAATGATAAATGAGTCAAACTCAATCTCGTTTAAATAAACAAACTCGAGTCGAGATAAAGGTATAATGAGCTCGAACTCAGCTCATCTCATTTACACTACGTCTTTATTTGTCTTATAATTATTAACTAGTTGTTACCCGTGCATTTGCACGGAAAACTATATGATAAAAATAAAATAATAAAAAATATAAACAATAGTAAAAATTATAACATAATCATTGAAAAAAAAAGTTTTAAGAAAGAAAATTCAAATATAATTAAACATTTCTTTATATACAACGTCTATAACTTTTCGAAACCCAATCTGATTTCTTGATGTAGCCCAATAAAAAAATTTAGTAAGAGAATATTTTAAATAAGCCACAACCCATTATTTTTCTTATAACTTAAGCCCAAACATTCATATCCCATTGTTTTATTAACAAAGCCCAGACAAAATTAAACAATGAATTATTTTTCGGGCCACAAACGGGTCAAATAAAATTGATTTCTTTTGAATCCAAGTAGTATCAAGGCTGATGTTTTTTTTTTTTTTTTTTTTTTTGAAAGGGGGGAGGGAAATTGGGCCAAATTAAACATAATCCAAATGCATGGACCCATATAGCACGGTCAAAGCTTCATCCACCACACAAATATAGAACATTCAACAAAGTGGTAGAGACAGATATTTAATGCCTAAAACCCTACCACCTGCAACATTTTCGTCGTTTTTTCTTCACTTTTAATCTTTTTTTTTTTATTTATCGGAGACAAATACTTGGATCGATTATGATTTTGTTTAGCTGTTGTAGACATGCTTTTAATTTATACATGCCTTACATCATGAAAAACAAATTTCAGCCCAGTAGTTACTTCTTTGTTTGTCGAAAATTTCTACGACTAAAATCGAACCAATCGCAATATTGTAGTTTTTTTTTTCTTGTTCTTAACCAAGAAAATCATATTATCAAATTGCACTGCCATTTGGAACTCAAAAGAAATATGTTGTGTCGAAATAGTTTTTTCGGTGACTGTGATTATGAGTGTGGAATGCAAAATGAAAATGTGTCTGATTTTTATTTTATTTATAAGCACCTGCAGAAGTCTATTAACTAATTAGTGTAAATCAAGAGCATGATTAGTTGAAAATATTTTGATAACTGGAAAAATATGAACTATATAATAGTGGCGCATTTGATATGATTTTTGAAACTGAAATTTATGTTCCACCAACTAAAGATTTTAGTTTTAGAGTCAAAATTTATGTTTTTGTTTGTATTTATTAATTAGACATGTGCTTCTATCATAAAAATTATTATTTTTCTTAATTTATTTTTATCATTTAAAATCAATTGAGATTTAAATTGTATTTTAACCATGCAACGTTTATATTAGTAACATGAATAAAATAATTTATATATTTGTAGCATATATTAAGAAAATTAGCATAAATAAAAAAATTATTAGTGTTTCTAATTTTTAGAAAAAAAATATATGTGTCAATCATGCACAAATGTACATATAATATTATAAGTAATATTTGAGAATTTAATATTAAAAATTTAGATTTGAACATATTACATTTTCAAAAATTTGATCATTAGAAAAAAATAACGATTTTATTATTATTAACAATTGTATATTACAATTCGATACTAATTGTTTAATTATTATTATTATTATTATTATTATTATTATTATTATTATTATTATTATTATTATTAAAATAATTGTTTATAAGATTCTAAAGTTGTTTGACTATGCTATTAAAATAATTTACTAATTGTTTTTAAAGAAATTTTTTCATGAGATACAAAAGAGCTCATGAAAAGAAAAAGATAATATTGATATTAAAATAAATAACATAAAACAATTGTTCTTAATTATGTAATTTATATTTATTGTGAATTATTATTAGTTGGTATTAGCAATAACTATTATATAATATAATAGAAAAATACATGATTATACTCATTATTATGTATTAATGTGAGAAATAAAAAATATTAATGATAATTTTTGTAACCGAAAATGGAGGGAAAATGTTAGAGGTTTTATTAAATAGGTAAAATTAAATACTATATGCTAGCAATTATATATATATAGATTTTTTTTGGGTAAAAGAATAATATAAAATAGAGAAAACCTATGCCATTTAACTGTGAAAATATCATTTTAATTGTATGATACGGGAAATTAATACTAGCTCATATTTTTAATATATGTTGTGTTGAGAAGTTACACATTAATTAAGAATATTTTTTTTGTCAATAATAAACTTATTTAATGAAGATAAGGATGAATGTTTTGAGAAAAAATGAAGAGTGAATATGAAAAGATGTAATGTATTTATTAGCTAAATGAGGGTAATAATAGAAAAATATGTACAAAAGATCCAAAACGACATTTATTTAGATAATAGTTGATAAAACTAGAATGAAATTTAAAAAAAAAAATAGGAGGGAGTACATGTTTACTTCAGCAATACCGTGACACAAATTCATGGCCTATAGGTCCTTTGGATTAACTTAAATGCAACATACATATTTTGTTAGTTTCTTCATATGATAAGTACATATGTCCACTGTTCATGTTTGTATGTTTATTTTTAGTTTTTGTGGATTGATGATCGAAAATTTGAATTACCCAGTTATGCTCTTCATCTTCTCACAATACCTGATATCTCTACATAATTTTGTTTGTGTAGAGCTGAAAAACATGGTTTGCAGACCAGACTTTGCCTGCATTGGGATTTAGGAGTTGCCCTGGCCGTTTATAAAGAATGTCTCGCACTTAGAGTTGCAGACGAATTGAGCGGTTTGTAGAGATATTAAACCAAACGAGCTATTCGTGAGCTCGGATTGGTTTATTAAGGCTCAGGTTCGGCTTGACTCGTTTGATAAGCGAGTTGAACTCGCATTCATCGGAAACTCGTTTAGTAAATGAGTCGGGCTTTACTCGGTCCGTAAAGGCTTGAATATTATTATTTTTTATATAATTTTCTATAGTTCTGTTAAGGCCCAAATACGACTCGTTAATATTGATAAGCGAGTTGAGCTCGAGCTAGATTACGAGTTCGTTTAATTAACAAGCAGTTAGATTGCTGGCTCGGCTCGGCTCATTTACAGCCCTAGCGGTTTGCAGAAACTTGAACCAAAGCTCGACTTGAATCTGAAATTGATCGAGCATGAGTCGAGCTCGAGTACCTTGAACTTGAACTCGAGTTGAACTTTAGCATGCATGTTATAACTACATTGCTCGACAGAGTTGCTTGATTATAAATAAAATATACCTAAATACCCCTAATACAAGCTAAATTCGAGCCTTTAAGAAAAACGAATGAAAGTTTCTTTATTTAAAATTCGAGTTGAACTCATGCAAGTTGATAAAATTCAAGTCGATCTCGAGCATTAGTATTTTTCCGTCGAGCCAAGCCGAGCCTTAAAAAGTCGAGCTCTAGCCACAATTAAAAAACTAAGCCTAACTCAATAAGGCCAGTCGAGCTCCACCTTTGATGATCAAGAAGTTCGTCTCCACTTTTATTGAAAATTCGAGCTGAACTAGAATGAAATTCAAGCTCACAATATTTCTAGTCGACCTCGAGCAGTTGTACATTTTTGTCGAGCCTAGCCTATCCTTCAAAAGTCGAACTCGAGCAACAACGAAAAACTTAGCTTAGCTCGATAAGGTCAATGCTCAACACACATTTTCTTTTCTATCGGGACCAAACAAATAGCAAGCCAAGGTAGCAAAATCGTCACTTTTGCGCATAATGTTTAACCGAAAACAAGATCTCAATGCAAAACTAACCGAAACACTTAAAGATATAACCATACAAGATACATATAGCAACAAAAGAAAACAATTCACACGAGCTCAATGTAAGCCATAGGCGCATTATCCCCTCTTCTCGGCAAAGTTCTTATAATCCTCGTATACCCTCCTTCCCTCTCCCCGTACCTCTCCTGTACCTCGGCAAACAGAGCGTGAACTATTTGTTTCTCGTAAATAAACCCAAGGGCTTGCCTTCTCTTGTGCAGAGTGCCATCCTTGGCCATCGTGATCATTTTGTCGACATATTTGCGCATGGCGCTCGCTCGAGCTCTCGTGGTCTTTATGCGCCCGTGCTTGAGGAGTTGAGTCGTGAGGCCACGTAAGAGGGCCCGCCTCTGGTCGGGAGGCCTGTTGAGTTTAGGGACCTTTCTACCGTGCCTCATGTTGAAAAATCGGGACCCGTTGCCGAACATGGGGAAGCTGTGCTCGTATCTGGTCAAATCTGAAAATTTACAGTCAAACTATACGTACTGAGAAACAAATTTAAGCACAATCAAATCAAGCACAGCACTTTATAGTTGAATTTGAATTCGAGCAATGTTTTTAAACATGAAACTGCAGAAATACGGTGTAAGATCAAGAATGCGCGTATAGTAAATGTTGTCGACTTTGTTGATGTGTAATAACAAACACACATACATATACAATCATAGAGATGGATTTTTCTAGTAGCATTTTTATCGGGAAGATGGGAGAAAGGACCAAATAGATAGTGGTTTACATCAACACTTCGAGTCCATCGATCATTACATGAGCAAACATGAGCAACTATGCAAACAGGACATGTTCATAAGATACTGTCATGACCTACATGATGTTTCATATAATACTTGCTTCAAACCCTGCAAATTCATGCTCTACCACTGTTCATGGGATTGTGCAAGTAATTTATTAAACTAATTCAAACTTCAACGGCAAAATCCAGCAGAAAAATGGAAATTGCATACATTTTTCCATTCAACCCACAGAGTTAGCAAGTATTCACTAAACTGGAAAATGTTTGTAATTGAACAATGTCAACAAAGAATAATAAAGGAGGGAAGATAATATATCTCAGGGAAATGCTACGGTCCCGTTACAAAACCATTCCGTCAAGATTTATAACCGTTAGATCATCATGTAACCGTCGGGAATAGTTGATCTAACGGTTACAAACTCCGACCGAATGGTTCCGTAACAGGACCGTAGCATCTCAACAGAAAAACCAACCATCTCATATCAGAAAACATGTTATAGCCATTCATACCATCACAGAGCAACAAATTTTAGATTTTTCGTTGATACATTATTTCGAACACCAGCGTAAGCATATAAACTGTCCAGCAAACCAAGATTTCTATACTTCAACTCATCGAATCACAGAAAGGGCAAAAGGAAGACTGCACCTTGAGATACAAATGATGAAATCAGGTTCAAAGGAGCGAGACCCGCAAAAGAATTGAGAGGTTTCGGGCCGGATTTGGGCTTGGAGAGCCGGAGCCCGGAAGGGCGCTTCCTATTCGGGAAATACGCGGTGGGGCCCGAAGGAGACGCTGTAATAGAAGGGAGGGAAGCCCGCAAAGAGGAGAGTCTCAATGTAGAAGATGCCGCCATTGCTGTGCTTTTCCTTTTTCTTCAGCGCTTGCTCGGGTTGAGAAGATAAAAAGTGAAGTTTTGAAGTGGATATTTTAGAGTATGTTTGTTTATAAAAATTTTCAAAAAATTTCTAACACTTTAACTTAACCATTTTTTTTAACTCAACTTTAACTCAACACTACTAGAGATGACCAGGTGTCGGGCCACGGCCCGATCCGGCTCGGCCCACCGGGTCGGCGGGCCTCAACATTTTGGCCCGTAACCGGCCCGAGAAAACATATGGGCCGGTTCATAGAACCGGCCCGGAACCGCCGGTTCACCAGCCCGACAGGTCTGGGACGGTTCAGGGCCGGTACGGCCCTTAAAAATCCAAAAAAAAAAAAGCAATGTGACCCGGCGCGACCCGGCCCGGCCCGCCGGGTCAAAAACAAAGAATGTATGAACTGGGACCGAACCGCGGCCCTACAGTTCCCGGTTCAACGAACCGGCCCTTAAGAGGCCGGTTCGGGCCGGTTTGGGCCGGGCCAGTGCCGATTCGCGGTAAACACTACTATCATCAATATTATCAATATAATTAAATAATATCAATCAATCATTCATACACACCACATCAACCTTAATTCACTATTCATCTACTTACATAATTTTAACTAACCATCACATCACATATTCTTTCTCCTACTTTTACATCATTTTATTTTAAATATTATTTTAATAAATTCACTGACAACTAACCATACCACCTTTTCAAAATTAACCAAACCAAACTAAAAAATTCAAACAAACTCAAAAAATTTCATAAACAAACATGCTCTTAGGGCTTGATTGTTTACAAATTATTTTACTCACTTTTATTTCAACTCAAAATTTAACTTAACTTCACTATCTTTAATATTATTCATATAATTAAATAATACAAATCTATCATTCTTACACATCACATCAACTTTAATTCACTATTCATCCACTCACATAATTTTAACTACCTATCATTTTCAATCATTTATCTCTTACTTTTACATCAAATTGATTTTAATCATTTTATTTTAAATATTATTTTAATACATTATTAAAATTCCACTAACAACTAACCATACATCTTTTTCAAAATTAACTATGGTGAGCCAAAATAATTTATTTTGAACAAATTGTATCATAAACAATCAAGCCCTAACTACTGGTCCTTCCACTCTTTGTATATTCTTTTGTGGTACAATGCAATTCTTGCTTTTCATATACGTGACTACGTGAGGCATTAGGCATATGAATAGATAACACAATTTATTTATTTATTTATTTTTTTTATTTTTATTTTTATTTTTTTTTTGTAAAGCCCATGTAACAAATCAATTTTTCATTGACAACCCTTATTTATTATTAACCTGCATGTTATGCTAAACTAACTGAAAATTGATAAGCTAGCTTATTAGCTTATATATAATTTTCGAACTTATAGCTTATAGCCTATATTTGAATTCAAGTAGTTCATAAGTTAACAAAATAAGCTATATGTTAGCTTAAATGTCTACTAAACATATAATATGACTTATAGCTAAAAAAACTACCTTCAAGTGTTTGGTAAAATTAGTTGATAAGCTACTTGAAATTAAAATTTCAATTAACTTATTTGAAAACCAACCTAAACAGGCTTATGAAATAAGCTCGAGTTTTTTTTTTTTAAAAAAAAAAGTACGTCATACCAAACGAGGTTTATTCGAATACATGAAGCTTACAAGGTAATCAAATAAGCTATACGTAGGGGTGAGCAAAACTGAGCCAAAATCGAAAAAACAAGCCGAACCGTGCGATTCAATTCGGTTTTTTTAGTGTAAAAAAATTTGGTTCATTTTTTTCTACATTGCAGTGCAGTGCAGTTATAAACTTTCATAAGTTCGGTTTTCAGTTTTGTTCGGTTCGGTGCGATTTTGCTGGTGCGTTACCAATTTGAATAAAATGTATAGATCAAGATAAAACCGAAAACCGAACCGAACCGTGCATTTCGGTGTAGTTCGGTTCGGTTATTTGAGGGTAGAATAAAATTCAGTTCGATTTCATTTTCGTTTTTTATAAGTTGTGGTGCGGTTTGGTTATTTATTTTTTACTTTTTTATTTTTGCTAAGTTAACTTTTCGTAGCCATATCCAGGTTACATTAACATCGTTATTCATTATATTATTTATCTGCATGAATCGAATTCATTCACACAATTTCTCTTCGATTTTTTTTAAAATTAATATTATTAATATCCATTAGCTATTTACCTCACATTACTCAATTTTTGTCCACGAGAAAATATACTCGTGAAGAAATCAAAATGCTAGAAAGATTGTTCAAGCTCGGCTCGAACTCGACTCAAATTTTAAGTAAAATTATCATTAAGTACATATATAAAATATTGTAATATTTATATATATATGGAGTATTTTAGTAACTCATTACATATCTCGAGCCGCTCGCGACGTTCTAAAACTTATGCTCGAGATTGGCTTGATAACATGCTCGAGCCGCTCGAGCTCGACTTGAGTTCAGTCAAACTCAAGCTCAAGTCTAGCTTTGACTCGAGCGCTCGCGAGCCTCTCAGTTCGTTTGCAGCTCTAGAGCCTACTGCGTAACTTTGTCATATTCATATACCTCCAACAAAAAAAGACGAAAGCTTTAGATCGATTTTCGAAAGATAACGAAAAAACGGCAGCAAAAAAGTATCGATAAAAGACCGAGGAAAAATCAATGATTGTGTAAAAGGTCCTCCGGGTCCAATTCTACCCCTGTCCGCCTCTTGATGGCTGCGCACGACTCGTGGGGCAATTTGGTCATTCTCTGCAACTCCACAAACCTCTTAACGTCGAAATTATGTTTCTTGACGAGCTTTCTCTGCCTCGAGAGGAAGAGCCTCTTGAGCAAGTCCTGGTAGCTCGGGTCCCTTGAGGTGAACAGGAAGTAAGCATAGCCTAATAATATGCCACTTGTGGTCGTGAAAAACGCAATGGGCTCCATTACATCCCAAGAGAATTCCCAAAAGGTCAGTCGGAAGAAAAGCCCGACTTGCACCACAGCAAGGCCCAGCCCGGCCCATAGTATGCGGCGGACCTGTTTGTGGGCCAGCATGTCTATTTCATCCTTTTTCTCCTCAAGTTTGCTGAGCTCGTCTTTGCACGGGTTTTCTTCGGGTAAAAGTGAAAAAGGAAATGCCCTTCTTACCAAATCGGCCACCTGCATGAAGGGTCGTGTGAAAAGAAGTGTTGATGGAGCTAAAATGGAAATTGTTGATATGTTCGATTATTTTTATAATTTCATCGCTCTATTTTTCTTGAACATTACAAGTACCCTTGATATTTTTCAGAATATTTTGAATAGTTGAGCAAAAAGTGATTTTGAGATATTTGCTGATATTGATAAAATCCCTTCAGGTCAATTACTGATTGGTGCAAAATGTACTCAGAATCAAACCGGCATTTTTAAATTTTTGTTGGCTTCTTTTGTAAACACCACAAACTGTGAGAGTAAATTTTGTAGTCATTCCACCCAAATGCAACCATAGACCAAAATATACTTCAAGCATTAGTATATCTTTGTTGAGCCAAACCGAGCCTTAAAAAGTCGAGCTCGAGCAGCAATGAAAAAACTAATCCTACATGATAAACAATCTATTACACCATTAACAGTCAAAATCTCCTAAATGTAAAGAAGAAAACAAATTGCACTTTCCCTTGTTTATGCTGCAAATTCCTTCTCATTCAACCCAACTTTGAGAAAAATGAATGAAAGTTTTTTTTATTGAAAAATCGAACTCATGCAAGTTGATAAAATTCGAGTCGATCTCGAGCCTTAAAAAGTCGAGCATGAGCATCAATGGAAAAACTAATCCTACATGATGAACAATCTATTACCACTAACAGTCAAAATCTCCCAAATGTAAGGAAGAAAGAAACTGAACCCTCCTTTGTTTATGCTGCAAATTCCTTCTCATTCAACCCAATTTCCCCAATTTCAAAACCCTACACAACAATCATAATTCGAGCACACATACAATACGACAGCAAAAAACAAATCAAACGCAAGAGTTTCCACAGAAAAGCAAACCTTATCCGGATGGAGATAGACTCTGTCCCGGAAAAGCAAAACGACGCCGGCCTCGTCGAGGACTCTGGCAAAGGCAGCCGCCTCGTCGGCCGACATAGCCACGCCGATGCCCTCACAGGCCTTCAAAAGCTCGGCGTAGGGGATTACCTCTTTCCTCTCCACGCCCAGCTTCTCCTTGAGCTCCTCCACGTTCACCAGCCTCATCAGCCTCTTTGCCTCCGCGTGCGTCATCACATTCTCTCCATCGGCCCGGTCGTCGCCGGAGGCGGCGGCGGCGGAGCTGCAGAAGTGGCGGGTCGTTCGGGGCGTGGGTCGGGTCCAGATGGGTCGGGTAGCCCACTTGGACGCCCGTTTCAGGAAATTCGCCCCCGAATTCCTCCACATGCTCCTCCCCCGACGATTTCTTTGACTCCCTTTTGTTTATTGAGCCTTATATCGTTTTAGCAGTTTCGAAAAAAGTGTCGTTGTATAATTAATGGGAGTCGGCCATTACAGTATATACAAGTATTTGTAGTATATAAGATTAATAAAGATTAAATTTCAACATTTGTTTCCATTTTAATTTAACCTCAATCTCTCGATTTTTGGTAATAAAAGATTACAAGTTTTTATTATTATTTTTATTATAATTTTTAAAATTTTGAGTGTATCATTTAGTCAACTTTCGCTGTTAAGACCACTGAACTTTTCATTACCATTTAGTCAATCAATCCAACTACTGAAAAAAAAATGTTATTTTTTGTCATTTAGTCAAAATTTGAATTTTTTTTTTAGTAAAAGTTTTTTTGTGAAAAAGGAATGAATGTCAATATATACTTACGGACCATTCTGTCGGGGTTTGTAATTGTTAGATCAACTATTTTCGACGGTTACATGATGATCTAACGATTACAAACTCTATCCGAATGGTTCCGTAATAGGATCGTAGCATTTCACAATCAACCAATGTATATGACAAAAATTATTTTGTTTCAATACAACCCTTATTAGTATTTTTCTTTTTCAAATTTGCAAACGTGTTATCTAGATTCTTATGAACTAAAATTAAACTCTACCCAACTAACTATGAACCAAATTAAATTGCCAAACAACCTCGCAAGCTTGCAGCACATATAATAAAATTCCTCTAATGTAATATAAATTTTATCTTAGATTGATTAAAAAAATACAAAAATTCTTGTAGGAATCAGTCTAACGATTAAAATGTTATTTTTTGATGATTTCTAAAGTATGTCACTTATATATAAAAATACACATATTCGTTAAAGATATATAACTACCTAACGATCATACATTCTCGACAATGTCAAGATTTTACATCCATTAGCCTGCTGAATGACAATTTTCGAAATGTGGAAAAATAAAAAATTTACAGTTGCAAGCGTATAAAACTCGAGAAGCTATGTTTTCACCATGGCCAACCTTAAAATTTAGTGGCTGTGTCTAGCCTTTCTCAAGGTTTTCACCGTACCTCTCGTGATTTTACAGAACCAAAACACGTTCATTAGTGAGACTACTGGAGGTACCGTAAACAAGCTGTAGAAACCCAATGGGAAGATTTGCTTGACCTGGAAAAAAAAACGAGCACGATAAACGATTACAAAACTAGTAATTATGAACATTTACAGTCTGACTATCTTGATGGTTGATGGCATCCCAAATTTTGTACATTTTCTGAATTCTACAATGCGTGCTGTGTGATCTTGTACTTCGAGAACGTCAGTAATATGAACAAATATACCGAATATATTACTTATGCTCTCTATCTTACATTTAACATTAATTCTTCATCATATATTCTAACAATGTTGAAACATGAAACTACTCAAATGAAAAGGTGGGGCCATTTGTGATAGTTTGAAAAGTTTGTGGTGCAACCAGTATTTTGCACATGCCAATACTCAAAGTTAGAGAGGCATTAAGGGAGAGAGAGAGAGAGAGAGAGAGAGAGAGAGACAACACACTCACAAATTTGCACATCAAAATGCCGACAATAACAGACGACAGCCAACGCAATTCTTTGGTCGGGTGACGTAACTTGCAATATTCATCAGCCCAACTACTTCTACTCCAATAACTCACATCATTTTATTTCCTCTCACTGAAAAAAAAAATGATTTCAGAACAAAACGAAAGAAAACGTAACAAAATTGGAGTTAAAATGGGGGGAAAAATTGAGAAGAGTAAGTAAATAGAAGCACCAATCTACTCCCCATGCTTGTATGAATCCATACACAAAACAAATCTTAACAAAATAAAAATAGTTAGCGGATGATGAATTATGAATGCACCGGCGAAAAGAAGATAACAGGAAGAACAATGGGCAAGAGTTGGACGCCGAATGAGTCGAGGTTTTAAGAATAAACAAATCAAAATCATGAGTATGAAACTCATCCGTTGCCAGATTTATTCATAATTTACAAATTTATAAAACAAATGTTTATACACAAATGCTAGAAGCTATTAAAACTATTTAACTAATTTTATTAAAAAAGAAAAACATTGGTTCATGAGATAAAAATATATTGATGGTAGAATAAATAGGTTGACAAGAAAATTGCAATAAAATAGTATATACGACGTATTATTAATTTGTATCACCCTTAAATATTACCTCTTGTATTAATGTAAAAAGTAAAACAATAACTGACAAGAGGAAACTAAATAATTTTATTAATTGTTTTGTCAATACTATATATAAATTTTGTGTAATTGCTATTGAACTGTTTTGGAAAATGTTGTCGTGTAAGAGCTATTTTTTAGATTTCTTCAAAAACTTTCTGATGGCTTAATAGGTGAATTAATTTGATATTAAAACAAAATAATTACACAAATATGTTGTATAATATATAGTAAAATAAATATTTCATTTATCAAGACCAAAATACACTAATTATTTTGATATAATACACTCTCTTCCTTTTTTAAATACACTCAATATTTTTTCTCACGTAGACATGCTCACACAACTGCACATATTGAAAATCTACACAGATGACATATTTATAGAGTAATAAGTCGGTGGACTAATCATTCTAGATAATTGCACCATTGTCCTAATATTTCTATCATATTAAATTACTTAATGTGTGCCACTTGATGTAAAATATCTAAACAGCCCATCTAGAAGATTCATCAAGAGGTGTTGAATTTCGAAAATTCTTTACAAAGTTTCTCTAATACTCTTGGTCCTATTACAAATTTAATCTAATATTTGTATAAGATTTGTTACACAATGTGTGTTTTGTATTACAACGGGAACCTATGAACTGACTGAAGTGTTCAGTTCGTACAAAAGAACTAAAACAAAAATTGAAATTACAACTCGAACGCGGAGAGATTTGAGCCGAGGCGATTGAAATCTATCCGCAAGACAAATACGCCCACGTGTAGTGCTGACGGGTTAGTGCGTAATGCCCCCAAAGATACAACGGCTTTAACA